GACAATTGGTTTTTAATACTTGACGTGCTGTTGGAGTGTGAGCAAAGTAACATTTATGAAGGGGTTCAGGGAAACCGGCAGGCCGGACTTGAGTCCTGGAGATGGGAAGTACAGTGCCTGCACTCTGAAGGAGGGGTGCTAATGTTGCAGTTTAAAAACTGTACTGTAAAGCACCCTTCTGGCAAGACAGTGATGGAGTGAATGATGGTGAAAGTTTTTCTTTTTCGGGCCACCCTGCCTTGGTGGGAATCGGCCAGTGTGATAATAAAAATAATAATAATAAAAAAAATATAAAATAACATTTTACTTACCTTTACTGAAGATTGGTGATGGCATCTGGAAGATAGGGAGGAGAGAGGGAGTTGGGGTTAGTGTTTGGAAGGAGAATCCCCTTCCATGAGGACTTTAGGTATCAGAGCCCTCTCTGGGGTTACTTCCCTTCTCTGTCTTTTAATGCCACTAGGACCAGCTTGAGAGGCACTGGACCCCTGTCTCACAAAATAACTGTCCACAGTCCTCTGTTTCTGGTGCCTCTTTAACATTTCCCTAAAATGGGACATGGTTCTGTCACTGAACTTGTTGCAAAGATGGCTTGTTTCAGCTTGCTCAGGGTGGTACTTCTGCACAAACATTTGGACATCATTCCACTTCTGTATTATTTCCTTCTTAACATCTATTGTGTTTCTCACTTTCTTTACCACAGGGGTACCACTAGCAAGTTTATTTGGGCCCATTGTAGCTTATTTCACAGTCCCACAAGCACTAAACACAATGAAATATGTAATCGTAAAATGTTTGAATGAGAGCACAGGTTAGTGTTCACTCAATCATCAACAAAATCAGACTGGCTCACGGCGCCTGCGTGGGGATGCAGACAGAGCAGGCTGCTGGACAGGTCCAGTACCCGACGGTTCGAAAATAGGGGCAAGTTCGATAATAGGGACAAAGTTGCTTCGAAAAAAGGGTTCTATTTTCAAAGAGTTCGATAAGCGATACGTTCGAAATTTGAGGTTCCAGTGTACCATGTACTTGTAGTAAATAATAATAATAATATACTATACATGGTATACAGGCCTAGCTGACATCAGTGACATACTAGTACAGTGGAATGTCAAATATAGAACTTTCTTCGGTCCAGAAGGCTGTTCAAATGTCGCTACCGAACGAATTTATTCCCATCAGGAATAATGTAAATTAGATTAGTCCATTTCAGACCCTCAAAAATACACTTATAAAAGCACTTACAAAAATACACTTACATAATTGGTTGAGTTGGGAGCAGTTCGATTTTTGAGGTTCCACTGTACAGTACGTATATAGAAAGCCCCTTGTTATGCAAAGCATATCAGGCAAATTAGGTCAGTGTCCCAGGATAAGTCCCACACCAGTCCACTAACACCCAGGTACCCATTTACTGATGGGTGAACATATACAACAGGTATAAAGAAACACGCCCAATGTTTTATGGATAATGTACTGTGTATGTGCTTGACACAACAAGAAGCACTTCTTTTATTCATTGGAACCATGGCTAGGACTAAAAGTAAGCAGGTTATAACAATAAATGGAGAAAAAGAAATTGGAATGACTTATGCAGCAAGTAGCGCCATTAAACAGTACCAACAGGTTGGTGTGGCGACCCTGGAAATTTGAAATTATGCTAGCCAAAATTAGTTCCGAGTAACTGATGGAACCAGGTAATTGATGGCTGGATTTGTGATGGTGGACTTGTACAGGTCTGCCATCACACATCCGGCAATCAGTCAACGTGGCTTATTTCTAGTACCTGGCTTGGGTTAGCCATGTATGATTTTTGGTAAATATTTGATTCCCAGCCAGGGTAGAAACATTAGGCGTGTTTCTTTACACCTGTTGTCTATGTTTACCCATCAGTAAATGGGTACCTGGGGGTTAGCCGACTAGTGTGCATGTTATCCTGGGACACTGACCTAATTTCCTTGAAATACTCTGCATAACAAGTGGCTTTCTATACAGTAGTATGTCACTGATGTCAGCTAGGACTGTATACCTTGTACATGTATGTGTAGTAAATAAAGATATTATTATTATTATTTTTTTTTTCAGTTGTTTGTTGGGTTATCTTATTGAAACTTGGGCAATGTATGATGGAAAGATACTTCTTAACGTACACCAAAAATGAAAGGAATCAGACCATAAATAGCCGAGTTCACTTCTCAGCCATTAGCCGCTGCTTAGCGGTATATTTTTGTATGTTTTTATTGTTATATTATCTTTTTTTCGGTCTCATTTAATAGAATGAAATATACAGTGGACCCCCAGTTTACAATATTATTTCATTCCAGAAGTATGTTCAGGTGCCATTACTGAACGAATTTGTTCCCATAAGGAATATTGTAAATTAGATTAGTCCATTTCAGACCCCCAAACATACACGTACAAACGCACTTACATAAATACACTTACATACAGTGGACCCCCGACTAACGATATTATTTCAATCCAGAAGTCTGTTCGGGTGCCGTTATAGACCGAATTTGTTTCCATAAGGAATATTGTGAATTAGATTAGTCCGTTTCAGACCCCCAAAAATACACCTACAAAGGCAATTACAAAAATACACTTACATAATTGGTCGGGTTGGGAGCTCATCGTTAGTCAGGGGTTCACTGTAATTGGTCGCATTGGGAGCTGATCGTAAACCGGGGGTCCACTGTATATTACAGAAATAGATATGATTTTGAGTGCTGTTATGATGAAAAGTACCTTGAAATTGCGCTCACAGTAGCGAAAATGTTCTGTTCTTTAGCGAAGCTCAAGAGTAAACAAATGACGTCACCGTCCAGTACCTGTCCGCCTGCCAGTCCAAATTCCAATACATAGTCTGGGTTGACATTATTTATACAATTATTACAATAATGCAGTAGTCTGCATAACAGTAAATCTTCTATTTTTTTGTGTGAATAAAAATTCCAAATGGTAAGCAAGAGTAATATAAGAGGGGCCTGGAGCCATGACTAATGAACAGAGAAAATGTTATTTTAGTGCCAGGAATGTCTGCATTGTTTATTCTGGACCCTATTTTGAAATTGGCATCTGTTGAAATTTGTGTGAAATCGGCCAAACTGCCAATTTCTGACCACTTTATTGGGTAGTTGAAATAAGTGAATGGGCGGTTTCTTGTACTCAGTTGACAGACTAGAAGTAAATAAGTTTATTCAGGTATACACAAATACAGTTACATAGATTATCATACATAGCAGTGTATGTATAGAGAACCTAGGATAACCCAGAAAAGTCAGACAAAGTGACTTATTTCCAGTACCTGGCTTGGGCTTGCCATATATGATTTTTGGTAAATATTTTTTTTTCTCAGTTGTTTGTTGGGCTATCTCATTGAAACTTGGGCAGTGTATGATGGAAAGATGCTTCTTAACGTACAACAAAAATAAAAAAGACGGATGATGAATAAGGGAGTTCACTTCTCAGCCATTAGCCGCCTCTTTGCAGTATATTTTCGTATGGTTTTTATAGTTGTATTCTCAGTTTTTTGGACTCAATTGATAGAATGGAAGATATATTACAGAAATAGACATGATTTTGATTGCTTTCATGATGAAAAGTACCTTGAAATTGAGCTCAAAGTACCGGAAATGTTCGATTTTTGCGTCAGTCAAGTTGGTTAATTTTATTAAGTGTATTCTAACCTAACTACTCTGTAATCCGGCAAACTCAGTAATCCGGCACACTACAGGTCCCAATGATGCCAGATTTGTGATGGAGGACCTGTACTGTATACAGGAGAAGGGATTACTAGCCTCTTGCGCCCAGCATTGTAGTCGTCTCTTATGACACACATAGTTTACTGAGGAAGAATTCTGTTCCACTTCCCCATGGAGATAAGAGGAAATAAACAAGAACTAGTAAGGAATAGAAAACCCATAGGGATGTGTATATATACATATGCTTTAAGGTAAAACACCTAGCTCTGCTGGGTGCTTGATTCTTGTAGGTTTTGGTGATCCTGTGGGTTAGAACATCATGTGATTTTCGCTCACCATGAGGCAGGCCAAAATGACATGGGTTTGAGTCCCTGGCTAGTTGCAGTGTTGTTATTGATACATATGCTTGTACGTGCAAGTGTAGTGTGATCTAAGTGTAAGTAGAAGTAGCAAGGCATACCTGAAATCTTGCATGTTTATGAGAGAAAAAAGACAACAGCAATCCTACCATCATGTAAAACAATTACAGGCTTTTGTTTTACACTCACTTAGCAGGACAGTAGTACCTCCCTGGGTGGTTGTTGTCTACCAACTTACTACCTAGGATTTCATAGTCTTATCTTTAGATTATCCTAGTTGTGTTAATCTTAACATTAGATAACCTAGTTATGTTAATCTTTAGATAACTTAGTTAACCTTATAGGCCAAACAATCTAACCAGTTATTTGATGTAAATTTTAGACTATTTTTAGTGCACCCAAAATGGTTTATGTACACAACTCTTGGTTTACCATGTACGGCACAGTAGTATAAACCAGTCTCTGTAACACACACGTTTACTCTTGAAAAATAAACTTGTATTTATGTAAAAGATGAGAAGAAACTGACTAAAATTTAAATATCTGAGTAATGGATATAAAGTTGAGCATCTGGAGTATTGTAAAGGCATAAATTGAAATGATTTTATAGAAGCATTTAAAGCTGATAATCACAAAAAGAGAATTAAAACTTATAATAACGTGACTGGACCAATACACACATAACAAGCGCATAACAGAATGAAACTTATGATGATGTTTCAGCTCGACTTGGACCATTAAATAGTGTGTCTAATTAGTCTAATTAATGGTGAAAGTTGGGTCAAAATGTCATCACAAGTTTCATTCTCCTATGTGCGGGTTATTTGTGCAATGATAATTTCATTTTAAGCTTTAACTTTTAATATGGTAATAATTATCCACTGTTGAGTGAGCTTTGTGATGTCTTGATGTATTGTGTTTTTTTTTTTTTTTTTGGTAGCTGGTTGTGGAGGCTGCGTCTGGTGCTGCTGTATACGCTGCAGTCACGTTGTTGAAGCAAGTTGAGCCGAGAGCTCAAAAGGTTGGCGTCATTCTCTGTGGCGGCAATGTGGACTTAGACTTCCTACCATGGATCACTTGCAAGACTTCCAGTTAAATGTATGTTGCACTTAAGATGTAATATAAATAAAATATTTGGGGATGTAGCTATACAGGCTATCCTCCTAAACAGTCATTGTATTATTATGCCTTAGTCAGATGTGTGAATGTGATACTGGAAAGACAGTGACTGTGACTGAATTGTACCATTGGTGTGGTGAGCCCCAATTGTCTGTTCACACTTCAAAAGTCTATAAAGTAGTCTTCCTGTATCCATAGGGGATATGTTCCAAGACCTACCATGGATTCCCAAAACTGTAGATAATAGCAAACCCCATACAGCCTTTCCTCGCTTAAGACCACGTTGGTAAACAAATTCGTCGCTGAGTGAGGAGCATACAATAATGGTAGTGGGTTTGAGTCAGCCATATTTGATATTGTTTTAATGTCACCTTTCCACTATTTATAACATTTCTTGTATATTTTTAAATGTTTATACAGTAATGTACTGTATATTGTAATAAACAGAATAGAAGAAATCAGCTCTAATATACATTACAGTGGACCCCCGCATAATGATTACCTCCGAATGCGACCAATTATGTAAGTGTATTTATGTAAGTGCGTTTGTACGTGTATGTTTGGGGTTCTGAAATGGACTAATCTACTTCATAATATTCCTTATGGGAACAAATTCGGTCAGTAGTGGCACCTGAACATACTTCTGGAGTGAAAAAATATCGTTAACCGGGGGTCCACTGTATTTAGGTATGTATACTGGTCAGAGCCCATCATAAGTCTGAGTCATCGGTAAACTAGTATGTTGCTAAGTAAGGAGAGGGTGTATATGTCGTTTCTCGTTTACATACATACCTATGATGATGTTTAGTTAATAAATTACTCACAGTAAGTCAAGAATTAGCACTTTTTTTACTGAAGGGAAGCACTTCATGGCTTCTCTTAGACTTTGAAGACCTGCCAGCATTGCTACTACAGTGGTCCCTCATTTTTCATAAGCATTGAAAGTCATAACTTTCGAAAATTGTAACGTGTTTTTTGTCAAAACATTGACTCGCAAATCGTCGTTTGAGTGGCAAATAGTTGTTCGTCCCAGATGTATATGCATGCCTTGAGTGGCCCCACACTCCATTCCTAGCCAGTGTGCCATTGTTTATCAGTGAGTGAGGGCGATCCCAGGCATTCATACGACACATTTCATAATATTCCATTCGTTTTAGTGCTTGCAACTGCCCTTTGGTAAAGAATGTGAGAAACACGATATAATTCAAGAAAAAGTTTGTAGAAAAATATGAAAGTGGTGGTGGTAGAGGGTGGTAGCGATTGTGGTGGTAGAGGGTGGTAGTGATAGTGGTAGAGGGTGATAGTGATGGTGTAGAGGGTGGTAGTGATGGTGGTAGAGGGTGCTTTCTTCAGTGATTCTACTAATTCCTTCAATAGTGTTGGAGGTATATAGGGCTACAGAAAACACTGCCGCCTCAGCTGCAGCCCTCACCACCATTATAGACGGCTTATGCTCTCAGTGGCCCTTATACACCCAACAACAACACAACACCATTCGTGACGTACATAATGACTTATTTTATTCATTCTAAAGTATATTCCATGTTTCTATGTTATTAATATTGTTTGTCATATTAGTTGAATTGTGATAGATAAATAAGCCATAGAGTTGATATTAGTGTCATATTCTCCAAAAATAAACTTGCCTCCCCTCCCTCTGCCATACACCAACAAGTCTTCAATAAAGGTAAGTGTGATGTTAAATGTTCATTTATAAATTTTATTAATGCTTTACATTTGTCATTCTTTTCTACATGTAAATCTATATTTTTTTAAGCTAGGGATGTGACCCCTGATAAGGACTTGGTACCTAGTGTCCATGGAGGAGGATTCCCCTTCCAAACAATAACCTCTCTTCCCTCTGTCCTCTTCCCTGTCTTCCATTCATCAACAACAGCCTTCAATAAAGGTAACTGTCATGTTGAATGTTCATTCTTTTGTGCATGTAAATCTACCTTTAAGGTAAAAAAAATTTTTTGTTGATACTTCTGGGTGTCTGGAACGAATTAATTTGATTTACATATTTCTTATGGGGAAAATGGTTTCGCAAATCATCAATTTTGATAATAGTCACACTCTCTGGACTGGATTAATTACGAAAAACGAGGGACCACTGTATTGTGCTTTGGGGGAATTATTAAGCAAAATTAAGGGTTATTTATGGGCTACAGTAAACCATGAATAACTGAAAATGCAGAAACTGAATCCACAGATACAGGGGTTCTACTGTATGGCCTTTATATATATTATTTCATGTATTGGTGCTATGGCATGTTATAACTGGTTAAGTTTTGTTAACACCCTCACTGTCATAAGTCCTGAAATTAAGTGCTGACAGTGCTGGGAACTTAAAAAAAAATTCTTTTGAAATGGTAGAGAATCTTTTTTTTGAAGGTAATAACACCAAAAGTATGAAATTTTAATGGAAAACTTATGGAATTATGCAGACGGAAAGTTGGTGGTATGGTTGCAGTTTATGCATTGGTGATTTTTGCCCAGTTTGAGCCCAGTTTTAAGCCAGTTCCATTGCTCAGTTTGACCAGAATCTTAGCTATCTCCCTCAGTATGCCTTCTGTTCTATCAATTGAGCATAAGAAACCACCCATTTAACTATCAGAACTACCCTATAAAGTGCACAGAAGTTGGTAATTTGGCCAATTTTACACATTTAAAAAGATTACAATTTAAAAACAGTCCAAAATAAACACTGTGGGCATTCCAGACACTAAAGCAATGTTTCCTTTGTTCATTAATCACATCCCCAAGCCTCTATATTACATTTGCTCTCGATTTTGAATTCATCGCACCAATAAAGTTTTACCCCATTTCTCGGATAATAAAATATGACCAGGAATGATTGGTCATGGTTGAGGGCATCCCAATAATTGAAACAGACTACTAAAAACCCATAAAAAAGACTGAGGAGTGTAAGGGGGTCTTACCTCTTCTCAGGAAAATAAAAAATCTAATAGAGTGGACCCTCAGTTTTCATGTTTAATTCGTTCCAAAGCGATCAGCAAAAACGGAAACCATTTTTCCCATAAGAAATAATGTAAATTCAATTAATCCATTCCAGACACTCAAAAGAATTAAAAAAAAAATTTTTTTTACCTTAACCCTTTGACTGTCGCGGCCGTATATATACGTCTTACGAGGTACCGTGTTTGACGTATATATACTCATAAATTCTAGCGGCTTCAAATCAAGCAGGAGAAAGCTGGTAGGCCTACATGTGAGAGAATGGGTCTGTGTGGTCAGTGTGCACCATATAAAAAAAATCCTGGAGCACGCAGTGCATAATGAGAAAAAAAAACTCCGACCGTTTTTTTTTAATTAAAATGCCGACTTTGTGGTCTATTTTCCTATAGTATTTATGGTTGTATTCTCGTTTTCTTGGTCTCATTTGATAGAATGGAAGACATATTATAGAAATAGAGATGATTTTGATTGATTTTACTATAAAAAGAACCTAGAAATGGAGCTCAAAGTAGGGGAAATGTTTGATTTTTGCCAATGTTCAAAAGTAAGCAAATGATGCCATTTTCCAGTAAATGTCCAACTAGCCATTCTAATATGCAGTCATGAATGGGTTGATGTTATTTATACAATTATTACAGTATTGCAGTAGTCTGCATAATAGTAAGTCTTCAATTTTTTGTTTGAATAAAAATTCAAAATAGAAAGCAAGAGTAATATCAGAGGGGCCTGGAAACACGACTGATGAGCAAAGAAAATGTTATTTTAGAGCCAGGAATGTCTGCATTGTTCATTCTGGACCTTATTTTGAAATTGTCATATTTTTTAGTTTTCGTGAAATTGGCCAAATTGCAAATTTCTGACCACATTATTAGGTAGTTGAAATCAGTAAATGGGCAGTTTCTTGTACTCAATCGATAGAAAAAATGGAGTTCTAAAGAAATAGCTATGAGTTTGGGCGACTGGAACAATGGAATTAGCCAAAAATAGGGCTCAAAGCGGGCGAAATCGCCGATTTGTAAACGGCGCCGAGGTTGCTAACTTCGCGAGAGCATAATTCTGTCAGTTTTCCATCAAATTTCGTTTTTTTTTGGTGTCATTACAATCGGGAAAAGATTCTCTATCATTTCATAAGAAAAAATATTTTTTTTTTTTTTTTTAAATTTTGCGACACCAGGACATAAGACATATATATACGGCCGCGACAGTCAAAGGGTTAAAGATAGATTTACATGCGCTAAAGAATGAACATTCAACATGACACTTAGATATGTACACGTATATTCAAAATGCCTTTGCTAACAACCACTCTGTCCTAGCGGTCCTTTTTGATTTAGAGAAGGCATATGACACCACTAGGAGGTATAACATTCTAGCCCAAGCCCACTCCTTAGGCCTCCGCAGTAATCTACCAAACTTCATCGCTGCTTTCTTGTCTGATAGACATTTTCAGGTCCATATTGGCACCTCACTTTCTTCGGACTTTGTACAAGCTTAGGGAGTTCCACAAGGTTGTGCCCTCAGCATTACTCTTTTTCTCTTAGCTATAAATGACCTACCTTCCGTTCTTCCTTCGTATATTTGGTCGTCACTTTATGTTGATGACTTCGCTATAGCTTACTCAGGCACTGACTGTCAAATAGTAGCAGCCTCCCTTCAGGTTGTGATAGACCGAGTCTCCCATTGGACCACTTCTCACGGCTTTAAATTTTGTAGTACAAAAACCCAGTTCATTCCCTTCACTAGATGTCCTCTAATTCCAGATACTCCCTTGTACTTACACGGTTCACATATTCCGGCATTTGATACAGTCAGGTTTCTGGGCCTGCTCTTTGATCGCCGGCTGACATGGAGATCACACATTTCTTTAAAGACAACTTGTCATAGTCGGCTAAATCTCCTTAAAGTTCTCACACATCGTTCATGGAGAGTAGATCATCGCACTCTCCTCCATTTGCATTCTACCCTAGTCTTGTCCAAGCTGGATTATGGTGACCAAATCTATTCTGCGGCCTCTCCCACAACTCTAAGTAGGATCCCATTCATCACCAAGGTCTCCGTCTGTGCCTTGGTGC